GCCTGCCGGAGGAGCTCACCGATGGGACCCTGCCCAGATCTTTCAAGGATTTGTGAGCTCCTCACACAATCCAGTCTGGTTAAACCCAGGATGGATCGTAGGCAGGCCAGCCTAAATGTTTCTAACCGGCGAAGATGTTCCATTAGGGGGGTCCACGTTTCGCAAGTGTAGAGAGAAGGGAGGGAATGACCGTGGCCGAGAAGACCTGAAGCTTAGTGCGGAGCGACAGACCAGGTAGCTTCCACACAGCGTTACGCAACCGATGAAAAGATATTGCCGCTCGACTGATTCGGAGTGAGACCTCTGCTGTTAAACTGGAGCCAGTCATAAGCACACTGCCCAGGTATGGGAAACTCTCCACTCTCTCCACAACTGCCCCATCACCGATTGGGAGTTGTGGGGTGGAGTGTCCGATGGTACAAAATACCCAGGCAGGTGCTTAGTTTTGGTGGGGCTGATGGTAAGGCCCCCCTCAACCACCCCCAGCTCTGAGTGGCACGCTCCGGGCTCAGCGGCAGCGTCTCCAACTCCTCCTCTGACTGAGCAGCTATTACCAAATCATCAGCATACATAACGTGTTTGAGCAATAGGGAGCCATCCCTTGACCCCACCCGGGCATCGATCAGCCTCCCATTATATCTGTACCATATGGAGATTCCCCCGGTACAGCTATTGAAGGCTTCATGAACTACGTGGTCAAAATAGATGTTAAATAATGTGGGAGCCAGAGGACATCCCGTGTCGCACCCCAAGGTGTACAGGGAATGGCTCTGACTCCCGGCCACGTAGTTTTACCCAGGCCCGCTCACCATCATGAAGGTCCTTAATGATCGTGAGCAGAGGGTCAGGTACTCCAAAAGCACGGAGAACGACCCAGAGCCCAGGCCTACTGATGGTATCATAGGCCTTGACCAGGTCAATAAAGCAGAGATGTAGGTCTTGTTGGAATTCCCTACACCTCTGCTGTAGCAGACGGACAGAAAATATGGCATCTGTGCAGGACCGCCCTATCCTGAAACCGCATTGGGGCTCCGCAAGCCTCTCCTCAGCGTGCCTGGCAAGGCGATGCTGAATAATCCTTGCCAGGACCTTTCCCGGCACACTGAGGAGTGAGATGCCCCTGTAGTTGTGACAGTCTGTGCGGTCGCCCCTTCTTAAAAAGGGGGACCACCAGGGCATCCTTCCAATCCTGCGGAACCCGTCCAGTGGTCCAGACTGTTGTTATGATGTCATATAGGGCAGTCTGTGCACAAACGCCACCCTCCCTCAGCATTTCGCTTGGGAGATCATCTCTGCCCGCTGCCTTTCCTGGTCTCAGACTCCGGATCGCCTTCAGTACTTCCTCAACAGATGGCACCTCAGCCAGCCACTCACAGGGGGTGACTACTTCCAATATTTGAGGCACCGCAGCCTCAGCAGGGTCATCCTCACTTTGTGCCACGATGTTTTCCTGGCCGAGGGATTTTCCCTCCCCCAGGACCTCACAGAAATGCTCAGCAAATCTGCAAACCTGTTCCTGGGGGTCGGAGATTGGATCACCGTTTTTTCCCCTAATGATGGTAATAGGTGTGGCGCTGCAGGTTACTTTTTTGATGGAGTTAAATAGAGATTTGTGATCACGGGCCACTGAGGCAGACTCCATCTCCTCAGCAACCCGCGACCACCACCCATCCTTGCAGCACCTCACGGCTCTCCGAACCTCCGAGCGAAGGCTGCGGTAAGCCTCCTCATTCTCTGACGTGGGATTCTGTAGCCGATGGCAGTGGGCCTGTCGCTTTTTCTCAACCATCCTGAACACCTCCTCTGTCAGCCAGGGTCTCTGGGGAGGTCTGGACCGCGTACCCAAAGCAGCCATTGCAGCTGCATGAGTCACAGTCCTAAACCTCGCCCATTTACCCTCAACATCAGGAGGAGTCGGGGATGATGCCAATCCCAGCCGCAAGCGATGATGAAATTCTCACTTGCAACTTTCATCAGATAACTGAGACCAGGCCACTTTAGGTCGGAATGGGGTCCTGGGTGTACACCCACCACCGGAGTGGAAGAATGGCAGGCGCATCTTACAGATAACTAGTCGATGGTCAGAGGGCAGATCAGCTCCACGGTAGGTCCTGGTGTCAAGGACATGGGCTCGCATCCGCTGGTCTGTCACTATGTAGTCCAGCAGATGTTCTTGCTTGGACCCAGCATGCATCCATGATGTTGTGTGGATGCGCCGATGCCGGAACAGCGTGTTGGTAATTACAAGCCCATGGGCTGCACAAAAATCTAGCAGCCTCCTACCGTTGTTATTGAGCTGATCTGGCCCATGCCCTCCAATCACTCCAAACCAGGTGCCAGTATCATGACCAACTCGGGCATTGAAGTCACCCAACATGATGACTCTATCCCGAGGGGCCACTTTAGCCAGCACCTGTGACAGGTCATAGAAGGCATCTGACTCATCGGCTTTGCCTGCATCCCTCCACGGATGTTCATCTTCGGTGGGGGCATAAGTAACCACGACCACCATTCCTCGCCTCCGGTTGATGGGAAGGCGAGCCCAAAGTAGCCTGGGGCTTACAGCTTCCCACACCTCACCGCCACGCTCCCACGCCCCCTTCATTCTTTTGTTCAAAAGAAGAGCCACACCCTGTTGTTTGGCAGTCTGCTGCCCCGAGTAGAGGACTGTCCACCCCTCATGGTGGCAGGAGCCAGAGCCGGTCCACCGGACCTCCTGAATGTCGCATAGATCCAGGCGGTACCGGTCCAGCTCCCGACAGAGGAGTGGCAGCCTCTCCTCCGCAGTGAGCGTTCGAACATTCCACGTGGCCACCCGTAGTGGCTTTTCGTTGTTTCTGGAGTAGCCCCGAGGGTAGAGATTCAATCTCCTGGCTCCGCCAATTGGGGTTTGGCCAGGAGACGTCATAGACGCCTGGCCCCCCGGGGCCTCCGGCACAAGCTTATTAGTTACATATTTCAGTTTAACTCGTGGTTTAGTGGTAATTAATTGAAGGTGGAGGGGTTACCAGCCCCTCGCACCCGTCCAGAGCCCCCGTTTAGCCCCTGTGGTGGACACAGATGCCATGAGGGGAGGAGCCAATCAAAATTGGATCTCCCCCCACAGCACTGTCCACGACAGAGTTGCCCGTCCGGCACCGCGAGGAGGTAGGGGGTTGTTTTGCCGGATAAACACACACAGTCACACACACACAGACACACACACACAGACACACTGTCACACACACACAGACACATAGACACACACACACATACACACACACAGACACACACAGACACACACATACTAACACACACACTAACACAGTGTACACACACACAGTGTACACACACACAGACACACACTAACACACACAGTGTACACACACACAGTGTACACACACACTAACACACACAGTGTACACAAAGATAAAGACAAAGATCCCCCGTATAGCCTTAACAGACTGTAGGGGCAAGTGCTGTTAGCGAGCACCTATGAAGGCCGGAACGGTACACGAGGGGGTGGGTGGCCAGCACCACGCCCGACCGCCTTTGTCTCCCTAGTGACGATGTTTACACACCACACCAGGTACTCATTTGAGGCTGAGTCGACCTAGGGGAGGCCCGGGACCGGTTCAAATAATCGTCACTGGTGTTGGCCGTGAGCGGGAATCGAACCCGGGTCGCCAGGTTCATAGCGCAGCGTAGCGCTAACCGCTACACTACCGCTCACACACACACACAGACACACACACAGACACACACACAGACACACACACAGACACACACACTGTCACAGACACACACACTGTCACACACACACACACTGTCACACACATACACTGACACACACACACACACAGACACACACACTGTCACACACAGACACACACACACACAGACACACACACTGACACACACACACTGTCACACACAGACACACACACACACACACGACTTGCCCGCCCGCCACACCGCGGGCGATTTCTCACCTTCCTTTCCGCCGCCTTCTTCGACGACTTTCCCTTCCCCCGGCCTCCGCCATCGCTCGACTTGCCACGGCCGGCGGCCTTCCCTCGCTCGCGCGAGCGTCTCCCTCCGCCGGTGGATGACTTCCTGGCCACACCGTCACCACCGCCCCCCCCCTCCTCCTCCTCCTCCTCCTCCTCCGTGCTCGATCCGTCGCCATCGCCGCCGCCGGGAGATTTCTTACGTTTGGCAACGGATTTTTTAGCATCGCCATCGCTACCATCACTATCATCACTATCACCATCGCTATCCTTCGTGACGGAAGATTTATTACGTTTGGCAACGGATTTTTTAACATCGCCACCATCACCATCATCATCATCGCTATCCTTTTTGATGGAAGATTTCTTACGTTTGGTAACGGATTTTTTAGCATCGCCACCACTACCATCACTATCATCACTATCGCTATCCCTCGTGACGGAAGATTTATTACGTTTGGAAACGGATTTTTTAGCATCGCCATCACCGCCATCGCTACCATCGCTACCATCATCATCGCTATCCTTTGTGACGGAAGATTTATTACGTTTGGCAACGGATTTTTTAGCATCGCCACCACTACCATCACTACCATCGCTACCATCATCAACGCTATCCTTCGTGATGGAAGATTTCTTACGCTTGGAAACGGGTTTTTTAGCATCGCCACCACCGCCATCGCTACCATCACCATCGCTATCCTTTGTGATGGAAGATTTCTTACGTTTGGCAACGGATTTTTTAACATCGCCACCACCGCCATCACTACCATCACTACCATCACCATCGCTATCCTTTGTGACGGAAGATTTCTTACGTTTGGAAACGGATTTTTTAACATCGCCACCATCACCATCGCTACCATCATCATCGCTATCCTTTGTGACGGAAGATTTCTTACGTTTGGAAACGGGTTTTTTAGCATCGCCCTCACTACCATCACTACCTTCACTACCATCATCGCTATCCTTTGTGACGGAAGATTTCTTACGTTTGGCAACGGGTTTTTTAGCATCGCCACCACCGCCATCGCTACCATCGCTACCATCATCATCGCTATCCTTTGTGACGGAAGATTTATTACGTTTGGAAACAGATTTTTTAACATCGCCATCACTATCGCTATCCTTTTTGATGGAAGACTTCTTCCGTTGGGAAACGGATTTTTTAACATCGCCACCACCACCATCACTACCATCATCATCGCTATCCTTCGTGACGGAAGATTTCTTACGTTTGGAAACGGATTTTTTAACATCACCACCATCACTACCATCGCTATCACTACCATCACTACCATCATCATCATCGTCAGACATTTTCGGTGCCCTCTTCCCGGCTGCCTTTGTTTTCACGGCCGTCTTTGTCTTCCCGGCCGTCTTTGTTTTCACGGCCGTCTTTGTTTTCACGGCCATCTTTGTCTTCCCGCCTGCAGCCGATTCATTTTGTCTGCCTCTGGGTTTCCGTCCAACGCTCGATGAGTCTGTGGGAGGGTGAGTGAGTGTGTGGGTGAGTGAGTGAGTGGGTGAGTGTGTGGGTGTGTGGGTGGGTGGGTGAGTGTGTGGGTGGGTGGGTGAGGGGGTGGGTGAGGGGGTGAGGGGGTGGGTGAGGGGGTGGGTGAGAGGGTGTGTGGGTGAGTGGGTGAGTGGGTGAGTGTGTGGGTGAGTGAGTGAGTGGATGGGTGGGTGAGTGGGTGAGTGAGTGGGTGGGTGAGGGGGTGGGTGAGAGGGTGAGGGGTGGGTGGGTGAGTGTGTGGGTGAGTGGATGGGTGGGTGGGTGAGTGGGTGAGTGAGTGGGTGGGTGGGTAGGTGAGTGGGTGGGTGAGTGGGTGTGTGTGAGTGGGTGGGTGAGTGGGTGAGTGAGTGGGTGAGTGGGTGAGTGTGTGGGTGGGTGAGTGTGTGGGTGGGTGGGTGAGTGTGTGTGTGAGTGGGTGTGTGAGTGGGCGAGTGTGTGGGTGGGTGAGGGGTGTGTGAGTGGGTGTGTGAGTGGGTGAGTGGGTGGGTGGGTGAGTGGGTGGGTGAGTGTGTGAGTGGGTGAGTGGGTGAGTGAGTGGGTGGGTGAGGGGGTGGGTGAGTGAGTGAGTGAGTGGGTGAGTGTGTGGGTGAGTGGGTGGGTGAGAGGGTGAGGGGGTGGGTGAGTGTGTGGGTGAGTGGGCGAGTGTGTGGGTGAGTGGGTGGGTGGGTGAGTGAGTGGGTGGGTGGGTGGGTAGGTAGGTGAGTGAGTGTGTGGGTGAAGGGGTGGGTGAGTGAGTAAGTGGGTGAGGGGGTGGGTGGGTGAGTGAGTGGGTGAGTGAGTGGGTGAGTGGGCAGGTGGGTGAGTGAGTGTGTGGGTGAGTGAGTGGGTAAGTGGGTGGGTGAGTGGGTGAGTGAGTGGGTAAGTGGGTGGGTAAGTGGGTGGGTGAGTGGGGTGAGTGAGTGGGTAAGTGGGTGGGTAAGTGGGTGGGTGAGTGGGTGAGTGGGTGGAGTGAGTGGGATGAGTGAGTGGGTAAGTGGGTGGTTAAGTGGGTGGGTGAGTGGGTGAGTTGAGTGGTAAGTGGGTGGGTAAGTGGGTGGGTGAGTGGGTGAGTGGGTGGGTGAGTGAGTGGGTGAGGTTCACCAGGTGAGGGTGACTCCGCTCTTCGTCTCTTCACCGGGTGAGTGGGTGACTCACCCGAGGCGGAGGAGTCACCCTCTGAGCCACGATCTCGCTTCCTCACCTGAGAGACAGTCACTCACCACTTACTCACCACTCACTCACCCACTCACCCACCCACTCACCAAACCCACCCACTCACCCACCCACCCACTCACCCACCCACTCACCACTCACCCACCCACTCACCCAACCACCCACTCACTCACTCACCCACCCACTCACCCACCCACTCACCCACCCACCCACTCACCCACCCACCAACTCCACCCACCACCAACTCACTCACCCACCCACTCACCACTCACCCACCCACCCATCCACCCACCCACATCACTCACCACTCAACCACTCACCCACCCACCCACCCACTCACCCACCCACTCACCCACCCACTCACCCACCCACTCACCCACTCACCACTGACGCACCCACTGACCCACCCACTCACCCACCCACCCACTCATCCACCCACTCAACCACCCACTCACCACTCACCCACCCACTCACCCACCCACTCACCCACCCACCAACTCACTCACCCACCCACTTACCCACCCACCAACTAACTCACCCACACACTCACCCACCCCACCCACTCACCCACTCACCCACCCACTCACCCACCCACCCACTCACCCACCCACTCACCCACCCACTCACCCACCCACCCACTCACCACTGACCCACCCACTGACCCACCCACTCACCCACCCACCCACTCACCCACTCACCCACCCACTCATCCACCCACTCAACCACCACGTCACCCACCCACTCACCCACCCACCAACTCACTCACCCATTCCACTTACCCACCCACCAACTAACTCACCCACACACTCACCCACCCACTCACTCACTCACTCAACCACCCACTCACCCACCCACACACCCACTCACCCACCCACTCACCCACCCACCAACTCACTCACCCACCCACTTACCCACCCACCAACTGACTCACCCACACACTCACCCACCCACTCACCCACCCACCCACCCACCGACCCACTCACCCACCCACTCACCGACCCACTCACTCATTCACCCACCCACCCACTCACCCACCAACTCACCCACACCACTCACCCACCCACCCACTCACCCACCCACCCACTCACTCACCCACCCACTCACCCACTCACCCACCCACCCACTCACCACACCCAACTCACCCCACCCACCCACTCACCCACCCGCACACCCGCTCACACACAAGTGGGCGAGCGAGTGGGTGAGTAGTGGGTGAGCGAGTGGGTGAGTGAGCGAGTGGGTGAGTGAGCGAGTGGGTGAGTGGTTGGACGAGCGAGTGGGTGAGTGGGTGAGCGAGTGGGTGAGTGAGCGAGTGAGTGAGCGAGTGGGTGAGTGGGTGAACGAGCGAGTGGGTGAGTGGGTGAGTGAGCGAGTGTGTGAGCCAGTGGGTGGGCGAGTGGGTGAGCCAGTGGGTGAGCCAGTGGGTGAACGAGTGGGTGAGTGAGCGAGTGGGTGAGTGAGCGAGTGGGTGAGTGGGTGAACGAGCGAGTGAGCGAGTGGGTGAGCGAGTGGGTGAGTGAGCGAGTGGGTGAGTGAGCGAGTGGGTGAGTGGGTGAACGAGCGAGTGAGCGAGTGGGTGAGCGAGTGGGTGAGTGGGTGAGTGAGTGGGTGAGCGAGCGAGTGAGTGACCCCATGCGGGTCTCACTGGTGAGTGAGTGAGTGAGCGAGTGTGTGAGCGAGTGAGTGAGCGAGTGGGTGAGCGAGTGGGTGAGCGAGTGGGTGAGTGTGTGAGCGAGTGAGTGAGCGAGTGGGTGAGCGAGTGGGTGAGCGAGTGGGTGAGCGAGCGGAGGAGCGAGTGGGAAAGTGAGCGAGTGGGTGAGTGAGCGAGTGGGTGAGCGAGTGGGTAAGTGAGCGAGTGGGTGAGCGAGTGGGTGAGCGAGCGGGTGAGCGAGCGGGTGAGCGAGTGGGTAAGTGAGCGAGTGGGTGAGTGAGTGGGTAAGTGAGCGAGTGGGTGAGTGATTGAGCGAGTGGGTGAGCGAGTGGGTGAGTGAGTGAGCGAGTGGGTAAGTGAGCGAGTGGGTGAGTGAGTGAGTGGGTGAGCGAGTGGGTGAGCGAGTGGGTGAGTGGGTGAGCGAGTGGGTGAGCGAGTGGGTGAGCGAGTGGGTGAGCGAGTGGGTGAGTGTGTGAGCGAGTGGGTGAGTGTGTGAGCGAGTGGGTGAGTGAGTGAGCGAGTGAGTGAGCGAGTGGGTGAGCGAGTGGGTGAGCGAGTGGGTGAGCGAGTGGGTGAGTGAGTGAGCGAGTGGGTGAGTGGGTGAGCGAGTGGGTGAGCGAGTGAGCGAGTGGTTGAGTGTGTGAGCGAGTGGGTGAGTGAATGAGTGAGTGAGCGAGTGGGTGAGTGAGTGAGTGAGCGAGTGGGTGAGTGAGCGAGTGGGTGAGTGAGTGAGCGAGTGAGTGAGCGAGTGGGTGAGTGGGTGAGCGAGTGAGTGAGCGAGTGGGTGAGCGAGTGGGTGAGCGAGTGACCCCATGCGAGCCTCACTGGTGAGTGAGTGGGTGAGTGGGTGAGCGAGTGGGTGAGTGGGTGAGCGAGTGAGTGAGCGAGTGGGTGAGCGAGTGAGTGAGCGAGTGAGTGGGTGAGCGAGTGAGTGGGTGAGCGAGTGGGTGAGTGGGTGAGCGAGTGAGCGAGTGAGTGAGTGGGTGAGCGAGTGAGTGAGCGAGTGGGTGAGCGAGTGGGTGAGCGAGTGAGTGAGCGAGTGAGTGAGTGAGTGAGTGAGTGGGTGAGCGAGTGGGTGAGCGAGTGGGTGAGTGGGTGAGCGAGTGGGTGAGCGAGTGGGTGAGCGAGTGAGTGGGTGAGCGAGTGCGTGAGCGGGTGAGCAAGCGAGCGGGTGAGCGAGCGGGTGAGCGAGTGGGTGAGCGAGTGGGTGAGCGAGTGGGTGAGCGAGTGGGTGAGCGAGTGGGTGAGCGAGTGGGTGAGCGAGTGGGTGAGCGAGTGAGTGGGTGAGCGAGTGAGTGAGCGAGTGGGTGAGCGAGTGGGTGAGCGAGTGGGTGAGCGAGTGGGTGAGCGAGTGGGTGAGTGAGTGGGTGAGTGAGTGGGTGAGCCTCACTGGTGAGCGAGTGGGTGAGTGAGTGGGTGAGCGAGTGTGTGTGCGAGTGGGTGAGCGAGTGAGTGGGTGAGCGAGTGGGTGAGCGAGTGGGTGAGCGAGTGGGTGAGCGAGTGGGTGAGTGAGTGGGTGAGTGAGCGAGTGAGTGAGTGGGTGAGCGAGTGAGTGAGTGAGTGAGTGGGTGAGCGAGTGGGTGAGCGAGCGAGTGGGTGAGCGAGTGGGTGGGTGAGCGAGTGGGTGAGCGAGTGGGTGAGCGAGTGGGTGAGTGAGTGGGTGAGCGAGTGGGTGAGTGAGTGGGTGAGTGGGTGAGCGAGTGGGTGAGTGAGTGGGTGAGTGAGTGGGTGAGCGAGTGGGTGAGCGAGTGGGTGAGCGAGTGGGTGAGTGAGTGGGTGAGTGAGTGGGTGAGCGAGTGGGTGAGCGAGTGGGTGAGTGAGTGGGTGAGCGAGTGGGTGAGTGAGTGGGTGAGTGAGTGGGTGAGTGAGTGGGTGAGCGAGTGGGTGAGCGAGTGGGTGAGTGAGTGGGTGAGCGAGTGGGTGAGTGGATGGGTGGGTGAGTGGGTGACTGAGTGGGTGAGCGAGTGGGTGAGTGAGTGGGTGAGCCTCACTGGTGAGCGAGTGGGTGAGTGAGTGGGTGAGCGAGTGTGTGAGCGAGTGGGTGAGCGAGTGAGTGGGTGAGCGAGTGGGTGAGCGAGTGGGTGAGTGAGTGGGTGAGCGAGTGGGTGAGTGAGTGGGTGAGTGAGTGGGTGAGTGAGTGGGTGAGCGAGTGGGTGAGCGAGTGGGTGAGTGAGTGGGTGAGCGAGTGGGTGAGCGAGTGGGTGAGTGAGTGGGTGAGTGAGTGGGTGAGCGAGTGGGTGAGTGAGTGGGTGAGCCTCACTGGTGAGCGAGTGGGTGAGTGAGTGGGTGAGCGAGTGTGTGAGCGAGTGGGTGAGCGAGTGAGTGGGTGAGCGAGTGGGTGAGCGAGTGGGTGAGTGAGTGGGTGAGCGAGTGGGTGAGTGAGTGGGTGAGTGAGTGGCTGAGTGGGTGGGTGAGTGGGTGAGTGGGTGGGTGAGTGGGTGAGTGGGTGAGTGGGTGGGTGAGCGAGTGGGTGAGCGAGTGGGTGAGTGAGTAAGTGAGTGGGTGAGCGAGTGGGTGAGTGGGTGAGTGGGTGGGTGAGCGAGTGGGTGAGCGAGTGGGTGAGTGAGTGGGTGGGTGAGCGAGTGGGTGAGCGAGTGGGTGAGTGAGTGAGTGAGTGAGTGGGTGAGCGAGTGGGTGAGTGAGTGGGTGAGTGAGTGGGTGAGTGAGTGGGTGAGTGGGTGAGTGGGTGAGTGGGTGAGTGAGTGGGTGAGTGAGTGGGTGAGTGGGTGAGCGAGTGGGTGAGTGGGTGAGCGAGTGGGTGAGTGAGTGGGTGAGTGAGTGGGTGAGTGAGTGGGTGAGTGGGTGAGCGAGTGGGTGAGTGAGTGGGTGAGTGAGTGGGTGAGTGAGTGGGTGAGTGAGTGGGTGAGTGAGTGGGTGAGTGGGTGGGTGAGTGAGTGGGTGAGTGAGTGGGTGAGTGAGTGGGTGAGTGGGTGAGTGGGTGGGTGAGCGAGTGGGTGAGTGAGTGGGTGAGTGGGTGAGTGAGTGGGTGAGTGAGTGGGTGAGTGAGTGAGTGAGTGGGTGAGTGAGTGGGTGAGTGGGTGGGTGAGTGAGTGGGTGAGTGAGTGGGTGAGTGAGTGGTGAGTGGGTGAGTGGGTGGGTGAGTGAGTGGGTGAGTGAGTGGGTGAGTGGGTGAGTGAGTGGGTGAGTGAGTGGGTGAGTGGGTGAGTGAGTGAGTTGGGTGGGTGAGTGGGTGGGTGAGTGGGTGAGTGAGTGGGGTGAGTGAGTGGGTGAGTGAGTGGGTGAGTGAGTGGGTGAGTGGGTGAGTGGGTGGGTGAGCGAGTGGGTGAGTGAGTGGGTGAGTGGGTGAGTGAGTGGGTGAGTGAGTGGGTGAGTGGGTGAGTGAGTGGGTGGGTGAGCGAGTGGGTGAGTGAGTGGGTGAGTGGGTGAGTGCGTGGGTGGGTGAGTGAGTGGGTGAGTGGGTGAGTGGGTGAGTGAGTGAGTGGGTGAGTGAGTGAGTGAGTGGGTGAGCGAGTGGGTGAGTGAGTGAAGTGAGTGGGTGAGTGGGTGAGTGGGTGAGTGAGTGGGTGAGTGAGTGGGTGAGTGAGTGGGTGAGTGGGTGAGTGAGTGGGTGAGTGAGTGGGTGAGTGAGTGGGTGACGTGAGTGGGTGAGTGGAGTGAGTGGGTGAGTGAGTGGGTGGGTGAGTGAGTGAGTGAGTGGGGTGAGTGAGTGGGTGAGTGAGTGGGTGAGTGAGTGGGTGAGTGAGTGGGTGAGTGAGTGAGTGGGTGAGTTGGGGTGGGTGAGTGGGTGAGTGAGTGGGTGAGTGAGTGGGTGAGTGAGTGAGTGAGTGGGTGAGTGAGTGGGTGAGTGGGTGAGTGGGTGAGTGAGTGGGTGAGTGAGTGGGTGAGTGGGTGAGTGGGTGAGTGAGTGGGTGAGTGAGTGAGTGGGTGAGTGAGTGGGTGAGTGAGTGGGTGAGTGAGTGGGTGGAGTGGGTGAGCGAGTGGGTGAGCGAGTGGGTGAGTGAGTGAGTGGGTGAGTGAGTGGGTGAGTGAGTGGTGAGCGAGTGGGTGAGTGAGTGAGTGAGTGGGTGAGTGGGTGAGCGAGTGGGTGAGTGAGTGGGTGAGTGAGTGTGTGAGTGAGTGGGTGAGTGGGTGAGTGAGTGGGTGAGTGGGTGAGTGAGTTGGTGGATGAGTGAGTGGTGAGTGAGTGGGTGAGTGGGTGAGTGAGTGGGTGAGTGGGTGAGTGAGTGGGTGAGTGGGTGGGTGAGTGAGTGAGTGAGTGGGTGAGTGGGTGGGTGAGTGAGTGAGTGAGTGGGTGGGTGAGTGAGTGAGTGAGTGAGTGGGTGGAGTGGGTGAGTGAGTGGGTGAGTGCGTGAGTGGGTGGGGTGAGTGAGTGTAGTGGGTGAGTGGGTGAGTGGGTGGGGTGAGTGAGTGGGTGAGTGAGTGGGTGAGCGAGTGGGTGAGCGAGTGGGTGAGCGAGTGGGTGAGTGGGTGGGTGAGTGGGTGAGTGAGTGAGTGAGTGGGTGGGTGGGTGAGTGAGTGAGTGGGTGAGTGGGTGAGTGGGTGGGTGAGTGAGTGAGTGACGTGAGTGGTGAGTGAGTGGGTGGGTGAGTGAGTGGGTGGGTGAGTGAGTGGGTGAGTGAGTGGGTGAGTGGGTGAGCGAGTGGGTGAGTGAGTGGGTGAGCGAGTGGGTGAGTGAGTGGGTGAGTGAGTGGGTGAGTGGGTGAGTGGGTGAGTGAGTGGGTGAGTGAGTGGGTGAGTGGGTGGGTGAGTGAGTGGGTGAGTGGGTGAGTGAGTGGGTGAGTGAGTGGGTGAGTGAGTGGGTGAGTGAGTGGGTGAGTGAGTGGGTGAGTGAGTGGGTGAGTGGGTGAGTGAGTGGGTGAGTGAGTGAGTGGGTGAGCGAGTGGGTGAGTGGGGTGAGTGGGTGAGTGAGTGGGTGAGTGAGTGGGTGAGTGAGTGGGTGGGTGAGTGAGTGGGTGAGTGGGTGAGTGGGTGAGTGAGTGGGTGAGTGAGTGGGTGAGTGAGTGGGTGAGGGAGTGGGTGAGTGAGTGGGTGAGTGGGTGAGTGAGTGGGTGAGTGAGTGGGTGAGTGTGAGTAAGTGGGTGAGTGAGTGGGTGAGTGAGTGGGTGAGTGAGTGGGTGAGTGAGTGGGTGAGTGAGTGGGTGCGTGAGTGGGTGAGTGGGTGCGTGAGTGGGTGAGTGAGTGCGTGGGTGGACGTGACGTGGGGTGAGTGAGTGAGTGAGTGAGTGGGTGAGTGAGTGAGTGAGTGAGTGGGTGAGTGAGTGGGTGAGTGAGTGAGTGAGTGAGTGCGTGCTGAGTGGGTGAGTGAGTGGGTTGAGTGCGTGGGTGAGTGAGTGGGTGAGTGCGTGGTGCGTGAGTGGGGTGCGTGCGTGGGTGAGTGAGTGAGTGCGTGGGTGACGTGAGTGGTGAGTGGGTGAGTGCGTGAGTGGGTGAGTGGGTGAGTGGGTGAGTGAGTGGGGGTGAGTGAGTGAAGTGGGTGGAGTGAGTGGGTGGGTGAGTGGGTGAGCGAGTGGGTGAGTGAGTGAGTGAGTGGGTGAGTGCGTGAGTGGGTGAGCGAGTGAGTGAGTGAGTGGGTGTGAGCGAGTGGGTGAGTGGGTGGGTGAGTGAGCAAGTGAGTGGGTGAGTGAGTGGGTGAGCGAGTGGGTGAGTGGGTGGGTGAGCCTCACTGGTGAGTGAGTGGGTGAGTGAGTGGGTGAGCGAGTGGGTGAGCGAGTGAGTGGGTGAGTGAGTGGGTGAGCGAGTGGGTGAGTGAGTGAGTGGGTGAGTGGGTGAGTGGGTGAGCGAGTGGGTGAGCGAGGAGTGGTGAGCGAGTGGGTGAGCCTCACTGGTGAGCGGCTGCCCTTGGCCTCACTGTGCCCCTGCATCTGTGCCAGAGGCTCCTCGTCAGACGAGCAGGAGGATGAGGCGGGGGCCTAACGGCACACAGGGTGGGTGGTACACAGGGTTAGTGGTACACAGGTGGTGTACACAGGGTGGGTGGTACACAGGGTGGGTGGTACACAGGATGGTACACAGGGTAGTGGTACACAGGATGGTACACAGGGTGGTGGTACACAGGGTGGTGGTACACAGGTGGGTGGTACACAGGGTGGTACACTAGGTGGTGGTACACAGGGTGGGTGGTACACAGGGTGGGTGGTACACAGGTGGTGGTACACAGGTGGGTGGTACACAGGTGGGTGGTACACAGGTGGGTGGTACACAGGGTGGGTGGTACACAGGTGCTGGTACACAGGTGGTGGTACACAGGGTGGTACACAGGGTGGTGGTACACAGGGTGGGTGGTACACAGGGTGGGTGGTACACAGGTGCTGGTACACAGGTGCTGGTACACAGGTGGTGGTACACAGGTGGTGGTACACAGGGTGGGTGGTACACAGGGTGGTGGTACACAGGTGGTAGTACACAGGGGTGGTGGTACACAGGGTGGTGGTACACAGGTGGGTGGTACACAGGGTGGTACACAGGTGGTGGTACACAGGGTGGGTGGTACACAGGGTGGGTGGTACACAGGTGGTGGTACACAGGTGGGTGGTACACAGGGTGGTACACAGGTGGGTGGTACACAGGGTGGGGTGGTACACAGGCGCTGGTACACAGGTGCTGGTTACACAGGTGGTGGTACACAGGTGGTGGTACACAGGGTGGGTGGGACACAGGGTGGTGGTACACAGGTGGTAGTACACAGGGTGGTGGTACACAGGGTGGTGGTACACAGGGTGGTACACAGGGTGGTACACAGGGTGGTACACAGGGTGGTGGTACACAGGGTGGTGGTACACAGGGTGGGTGGTACACAGGGTGGTGGTACACAGGGTGGTACACAGGGTGGGTGGTACACAGGGTGGGTGGTACACAGGGTGGTACCAGGGTGGTACACAGGGTGGGTGGTACACAGGGTGGGTGGTACACAGGGTGGTGGTACACAGGGTGGTGATGATGATGTTAAAAGTGACGATGTTGGTGACGATGTTGATGGTGACGATGATGATGGTGACAATGATGATGATGGTGACAATGATGATGATGGTGACGATGATGATGTTGGTGATGATGGTGATGATGTTGGTGATGATGGTGATGATGTTGGTGATGATGGTGACGATGATGATAGTGACGATGATGATGATGTTGATGATGATGATGATATTGGTGATGATGATGATGTTGGTGATGATGGTGATGATGTTGGTGATGATGGTGACGATGATGATAGTGACGATGATGATGATGATGATGTTGTTGGTGATGATGATGTTGGTGATGATGGTGATGATGTTGGTTATGATGGTGACGATGATGATAGTGACGATGATGATGATGGTGATGATGTTGATGAGGATGACGTTGATGGTGATGATGGTGACGATGTTGATGATGATGATGGTGACGATGATGTTGATGATGACGTTGATGGTGATGATGGTGATGATGATACCATGTGTGTACGCAGGGCGTCCAGGACGAGACGTTTAAAGACGCTGCTGACAGTGACGATGTTGACGATGATGTTGATGGTGATGACGATGTTGATGATGATGATAGTACCAACGTGTGTGCGCAGCGCGTCCAGGACGAGACGTTTAAAGACGGCTGATAGTGACGATGTTGATGGTGATGTTGGTGATGATGTTGGTGATGATGTTGATGGTGACGATGGTGATGTTAGTACCACATGGGTACGCAGGGCGTCCAGGGACGAGACGTTTAAAGACGCTGCTGATAGTGACGATGGTGATGGTGATAGTGATGATGATGGTGATGATGGTGACGATGGTGATGTTAGTACCACATGGGTACGCAGGGCGTCCAGGACGAGACGTTTAAAGACGCTGCTGACAGTGACGATGTTGATGGTGATGACGGTGACGATGATGATGAAGATGTTGATGATGATGGTGGGGATGATGATAGTACCACGTGGGTACGCAGGGCGTCCAGGACGAGACGTTTAAAGACGCTGCTGACAGTGGACGATGTTTGATGATGGTGATGATGGTGACGATGGTGATGAGGTTGATGGTGACGATGGTGATGATGTTAGTACCACGTGGGTACGCAGGGCGTCCAGGACGAGACGTTTAAAGATGCTGCTGACAGTGGACGATGTTGATGATGGTGATGATGGTGACGATGATGATGATAGTGATGTTGATGGTGATGATGTTAGTACCACATGGGTACGCAGGGCGTCCAGGACGAGACGTTTAAAGACGCTGCTGACAGTGACGATGGTGATGATGGTGATGATGGTGACGATGATGATGGTGATGATGGTGATGATGGTGACGATGGTGATGATAGTACCACATGGGTACGCAGGGCGTCCAGGACGAGACGTTTAAAGACGCTGCTGACAGTGATGATGGTGATAGTGATGATGATGGTGATGATGGTGACGATGGTGATGATAGTACCACGTGGGTAACGCAGGGCGTCCAGGACGAGACGTTTTAAAGGACGCTGCTGACAGTGACGATGGTGATGATGATGGTGATGATGGTGATGATGGTGACGATGTTAGTACCACATGGGTAACGCAGGGCGTCCAGGACGAGACGTTTAAGACGCTGCTGATAGTGACGATGTTGATGATGGTGATGATGGTGACGATGGTGATGATGTTGATGGTGACGATGGTGATGATGATAGTACCACGTGGGTACGCAGGGCGTCCAGGACGAGACGTTTAAAGACGCTGCTGACAGTGACGATGTTGATGGTGATGTTGGTGATGATGTTGGTGATGATGTTGGTGATGATGTTGATGATGGTGATGATGGTGATGATGTTAGTACCAACGTGGGTACGCAGGGCGTCCAGGACGAGACGTTTAAAGACGCTGTGCTCCGTCTCCTTCAGGCTGCTCCTCGACGAGGCGGAGAGAAACGCCTCCCTCACCTTGCGTAGCGTCAACGAGCTACACACACACAGTCACACACACACAGTGACAGTCACAGTGTCACACACACACAGTCACACACACACACACAATGACAGTCACAGTCACACACACACACAGTCACACACACAGTCACTCACACACACACAGTCACTCACACACAGAGTCACACAGTCACACACACACAGTCACACACACAGTAACACACACACAGTCACACACAGTGACACACAGTCACACACACACAGTCACACACAGTCACACAGTCACACACACACACAGTCACACACACACAGTCACACACACACAGTAACACACACACACAGTCACACAGTGACACACACAGTCACACACACACAGTCACACACACAGTAACACACACAACAACCGCCATTCGCCACTAAGTGGCGGTGACGTCACCACAACGCTTGTGCCAGGCTATGTGCACCCTGAGGCCACGTGAAGTGTCGAACGCCCGCTGGCAGGAGGTCACGGGGCAGACCCAGGTGCCACGGGTCGACTGACTGAGATGACTGGCTGATGCACCACCTGTGCCCCCTACTGTGCCAACCTGCTGTGCTTTAGCCACCCGGCGCTCCGCTCGTTGTTCTGAGCGTCGCTCCTCCGCCCTCCGTTGTTGTTGGAGGGCGACTACCTCCAACTGCCCAGTAGCATCCTTCACGAGCCTCCTCCACAGAGGCCGATCTTGACACCGCTGGTACCAGTCATCGACAAGTCCACTCAGCTCCATGTCCTCCTGTACCACATCACTCCATCTCTTCTCTAGCCCGTGCTGCGCCCGCTTAGCCCCCTCAATCCGGCCAAACAAAAGCTGTTTCGGCATGCGGTGGCTGGGCATGCGGGCTACATGACCCAGCCATCGCAAGCCTTGCCTGCCGGAGGAGCTCACCGATGGGACCCTGCCCAGATCTTTCAAGGATTTGTGAGCTCCTCACACAATCCAGTCTGGTTAAACCCAGGATGGATCGTAGGCAGGCCAGCCTAAATGTTTCTAACCGGCGAAGATGTTCCATTAGGGGGGTCCACGTTTCGCAAGCGTAGAGGGAGGGAATGACCGTGGCCGAGAAGACCTGAAGCTTAGTGCGGAGCGACAGACCAGGTAGCTTCCACAAAGCGTTACGCAACCGATGAAAAGATATTGCCGCTCGACTGATTCGGAGTGAGACCTCTGCTGTTAAACTGGAGCCAGTCATAAGCACACTGCCCAGGTATGGGAAACTCTCCACTCTCTCCACAACTGCCCCATCACCGATTGGAGTTGTGGGGGTGGAGTGTCCGATGGTACAAAATACCCAGGCAGGTGCTTAGTTTTGGTGGGGCTGATGGTAAGGCCCCACCTCTTAGTGGCACGCTCCAGTCTCAGCAGCAGCGTCTCCAACTCCTCCTCTGACTGAGCAGCTATTACAAATCATCAGCATACATAACGTGGTTGAGCAATAGGGAGCCATCCCTTGACCGCACCCGGGCATCGATTAGCCTCCCATCATATCTGTACCATATGGAGATTCCCCCGGTACAGCTATTGAAGGCTTCACGAACTACGTGGTCAAAATAGATGTTAATTAATGTGGGAGCCAGAGGACATCCCTGTCGCACCCCAAGGTGTACAGGGAATGGCTCTGACTCCCGGCCACGTAGTTTTACCCGGGCCCGCTCACCATCATGAAGGTCCTTAATGATCGTGAGCAGAGGGTCAGGTACTCCAAAAGCACGAAGAACAATCCAGAGCCCAGGCCTACTGATGGTATCATAGGCCTTGACCAGGTCAATAAAGCAGAGATGTAGGTCTTGCTGGAATTCCCTACACCTCTGCTGTAGCAGACGGACAGAAAATATGGCATCTGTGCAGGACTGCCCTTTCCTGAAACCGCATTGGGGCTCCGCAAGCCTCTCCTCAGCGTGCCTGGCAAGGCGATGCTGAATAATCCTTGCCAGACACACACACAGACACACAGACACACACACACAACAACAACCGCCATTCGCCACTAAGTGGCGGTGACGTCACCACGACGCTTGTGCCAGGCCATGTGCACCTTGATGCCACGTGAAGTGTAGTGTATAGTGTAGTGTATAGTGTAGTGTATAGTAGGTAGTGTATAGTAGTGTAGTGTATAGTAGTGTAGTATAGTGTATAGTAGTGTAGTAGTGTAGTGTATAGTAGTGTATAGTGTAGTAGTGTAGTGTATAGTAGTGTATAGTGTAGTGTATAGTAGTGTAGTGTATAGTAGTGTAGTGTATAGTGTAGTGTACAGTGTAGTGTATAGTGTAGTGTAGTAGTGTATAGTGTAGTGTATAGTACTGTATAGTGTAGTGTATAGTGTAGTGTATAGTGTAGTGTACAGTGTAGTGTATAGTACTGTATAGTGTAGTATATAGTGTAGTGTGCAGTGTACAGTGTAGTGTAATGTACAGTGCGGTAGGACTTAAATATCACCGTCATCAGCGCTACTCAGGCGACAAAAACGTGCTCATGCATTGCAGAAACAACGCAGCTTTAGACTCCTTCGCAAACTACGACGACGATGATGACAACAACAACAACCAAAACCCCCCCCCAAAAGGCGAAACGTCGTTTTTATTTTAAACAATAACATTAAATATCAACGCCTCTTTCTCCACCCTTACCTGATGTCTGCGCGTCCCCTGAAGTAATTCGTCAGGAACTGCCGCATTTCCCTCTCCACGGCGCTCATCTTAATCACCTCAGCAATCCAATCGGTTTTGCCAATTGCAATCGATTGCTCATCGATTAATCGGCGCGCGCTGCTGAGGTGAAAATTTTCGCGCCTTTTTTTTCTCACCACCGTCTCGCGCTCTCTCCAGCGACGCTTCCGTCTGCCGTCAACGGCGACCGCGCCAAAACGGACGGTAGACGTCTTCCGGAAGACACTCCCACCGTCTTCCGGAAGACACTCCCACCGTCTTCCGGAAGACACACCCACCGTCTTCCGGAAGACACTCCCACCGTCTTCCGGAAGACACTCCCACCGTCTTCCGGAAGACACTTCCACCTTATTCCGGAAGACACTCCCACCGTCTTCCGGAAGTTACTCCCACCGTCTACCGGAAGACACTCCCACCGTCTTCCGGAAGACTTGCCACCGTCTTCCGGAAGATCTCCCACCGTCTCCCGGAAGAACCTCCAACCCTTTCTACCGGAAGACTTCCACCGTCTTCCGGAAGACGTCCACCATCTTCCGGAAGATCGCCACCATCTTCCGGAAGATGTCTTCCGGTGGCATTCTGGCTCTACGGTGTGTTCTTCCGGAAGATGTCCGCCGCGATCTTCCGGAAGTGACGGTACACGACTTCCGGAAGTTACGTCATACGCCTTTTGGCGTCCTTTGGGCCGTCCATAAATGACGTCACGCACCTAGGGGGGGGGGGAGGAAGGGGGGGGGTCAGACATTTGCGACGATGCGTGACGAAGGTGGGTGGGGGGAGGGGTTTGAGACATGTGACGTCACATCAAATTGCGCAACTTTAAATAACTATAGACAAATTTTGATTTAAGGCTTTCGTGACTGCAGTAATTCATATTCTTAGCTCTTTCGGTAAAGTCACCACCACGTTGAAGGGAAACAATAAAATAATAAAAATATATATATAAAACAATAAAAATAGCAATCATTGGCAGGATTTGATAAACCATTTCAGGTCTTAATTGATTGTTCACGCTTACGGTGGCTTTCAGACAGCATACATTAAAATGTTTCATCTCCCCCCTCCTCTGTTTCAGAACATAGATGGACTCGTCCTTCTAAACAAACTGCCAAATCGCTGCGCGTGGCGCTGACGTTTTTTTTATTATAAATAAATAAATAAACGCACAAACGCCGCTCGAAAATAAATAAATAAATGAGGACCGCCGCTTCTATCAAATGTTTATTGTCGTTGGTTTTTCACACCTGATGACGATCGTTTGCGTTATGGTCGAAACGTCGTGAGAATTTTTATTGTTTTATATTTATTATTTTATCGTTTTATTGTTTCCCTTCAACGTGACTATAGACAACACGTATTCTTGGTTCTTTCGGTAAAGTCACCACCACGTAGATAGGGAAACAATAAAATAATAAAAATATAAAACAATTAAATAATTATTCTTGGTTCTTCCGGTAAAGTCACCACCACGTAGATAGGGAAACAATAAAATAATAAAAATATAAAACAATTAAATAATTATTCTTGGTTCTTTCGGTAAAGTCACCACCACGTAGATAGGGAAACAATAAAATAATAAAAATATAAAACAATAAAATAATTATTCTTGGTTCTTTCGGTAAAGTCACCACCACGTAGATAGGGAAACAATAAAATAATAAAAATATAAAACAATAAAAATATTATTCTTGGTTCTTTCGGTAAAGTCACCACCACCACGTAGAAGGGAAACAATAAAATAATAAAAATATAACACAATAAAATAATAAAAATATAAAACAATACAATAATAAAAATATAAAACAATAAAATTATTATTCTTGGTTCTTCCGGTAAAGTCACCACCACGTAGATAGGGAAACAATAAAATAATAAAAATATTAAACAATAAAATTATTTTTGATTTAAAGCTTTCGTGACTGCAGTAATTCATATTCTTAGTTTTTTCGGTAAAGTCACGTTGAAGAGAAACAACAAAATAACAAAATATATATAAAACAATAAAAAATTCTCACGACGTTTCGACCATAACTCAAACGGTCATCATCAGGTGTGTCGGTTTGCATAAATTTATTTTGAAAACGGCATATTTATTTATATATATAAAAATAACGTTTGCGTCACGCGCAACGATGGCAGTTTGCCAGGACTAGTCCATCTATTTTTTGAAAAGAGGAGGGGGGAGACGAAATTTGTTTTTATGTATGCTGTCTGAAAGGCACTGTAAGCGTGAACAATCAATCAAGAACTGAAATGATTTATCAAATCTTTCCAATGATTGCTAAGATAGAATCCATCTTCTCGGTTGAAATTGTCTCTGTGTTTGTATATGTGGATAGCCTCATGAACGAATCTCTCATGGAAGCCAGATGGCTTACAAAGAACCTCCGTCTTGGAAAAGTCAATGGCATGTGAGCCTACTGAATTAGAACAATGATCTGCTACGGCCGAGGTGTTGGTCCTACCGTGTTTAAGGTCTGCTTTATGTTCACGAATGCGGTCCGAGATATGGCGTTTGGTTTCTCCAATGTAACTACTACCACAGAGGCAACTTAGTTTGTAGACACCAGGGTATTGTATGTCCGGAATCACATCTTTTACAGACGGAACCAGATCACGGATTTTATGTAATGTGTTGAAACGGACCTGGATCTTGTGTTTATTCAAGATTTTGGAGATCTTTTTTGTGATCCCAGCAATGTAGGGTAAAGTGATGGTTTTGAAAGGCTCCTCAAGAGGGTTCTTCTTCATGGTTTGAGTGATAGCTTTGCGGATTGTATAGTCGGAGTAACCATTAGCCCTAAGAGCTTGGTGTACGTGCTTGAGTTCACTGCTTATGTGTTCCTGGTCGGATATGCATTGGGCTCTATGATACAGAGTCTTGATGAGAGAATTCTTCTGTGATGGATGGTGGTGGGAATCCGGTTTCAGATAAGCATCCGTATGGGTAGCTTTCCTGTAGACAGAGTGGCTCATTGAACCATCAGGTCTCTTTTTAATTAGGACATCCAAAAAAAGGTATCTTGCCATCTATTTCGACTTCCATGGTAAATCTGATGGCTGGGTGTATGGAATTGATGTGGTCGAAGAATTTGTCTAGAGCAGGCCGGCCATGTGGCCAGATGACAAAAGTGTCATCCACGTACCTCTTCCATAAGGTTGGGCGCAGAGTGGCAGTCTGGATGGCGTCAGTCTCAAATTTCTCCATGAAAATGTTAGCTATAACTGGAGAAAGGGGGGAGCCCATTGGGGTGCCCTCAGTTTGTTTGTAGAAAGTTCCATTCCAAGTGAAGTATGTATTGGTTAAACAGTGTCTCACCAGGGGGGGTACCTCAGTGTTTAGTCCTTGATGAACCAAGTCTTCAATGATTGCAATGGTGTCAGGTACAGGAACCTTGGTGAATAAGGAAACTACATCAAAACTGACAAGCAGGTCGTCTGGGGACAGGGAAATACCCTTGATTGTTGATACCAGGTGAGTAGAATTTTGTACCGCAGAGGTGGTCTTTCCAGTGAAAGGACGCAGGATTTCAGACAAAAAAACGAGCTAGTTTGTAGGTGGGGGAGCTGATAGTAGAGACTATGGGACGAAGAGGTGTATCAACTTTATGTATTTTTGGTAAGCCGTATAATCTTGGTGGCCTGGCAGCAGAAGGTTTCAACGAAAACTGTTTAGATTGATCAATTAATGCGGTTGAATCAGAAATTATTTTGTTGGTTTGTGTGACGAGGCTGTTGGTGGGATCTCTTTTTATTTTTGTATAACTACCATCGTCGAGTAATTCTTTAATTTTGTTGTTGTATTCTATTTTATCCATGATAACAGTAGCATTGCCTTTGTCAGCTGAGAGAACTACAATATCATTCCTCTTTTTTAATTTATATAATTCAAAACGCTCATCTTTGCTGAGGTTGCTAGCTGGCATCTTAGCGTTTTTGAGGGTTGCAGCGATTTCAGATCTTGCTACGTCTGCAGCGATGTGACCCAGGCCCCTGAGAGCAACGTCTACTTGGGCAATTATATCATTAACTGGTATGTGTTTAGGTGTGACTGCAAAGTTTAGACCTTTAGCTAAAACGGATTTCAGACCATCGGAAATAGAACTGTTACTGCGATTAATTACGACTTTATTAACGTCTAACTTTTTGGTGTGTGGGTCCGGTCTTTTGTTTAAGAGGAGGTTAAATTTGGAAATCAGGTTTTCCTTACATTTGGTCGACATAGTAGCAGCTGAAGAGGCAGTCATATTGTCTACATGTTCCCAATCCGATGTGGACATTATTGCCGTCAATGATAAGTGTGATTTGTAGAGTGTCTTGTCTAACTGATCTAGTTCTGTGCGTATAAGTCTGATTTTTTCTGAGATAAGAGCTAAGCTAGTTTTGAAAAGAATTCGTTCGCATTAGAAGAAGTTACAGTAGCAGAGGTGAGTGTAAATGCGATTGGTATTACCCCAGAGTCGCGGCATCTCTTCAGGAAGGTGAGAGACTCGATCAGCTGAGCTTTCTTATCCCGGAGTTTGTTGAAAGATCTTAAAGTTATGTGAAAACCCTCCCCGTAGAGGCGATTAAATTTTGATTTAAAGCTTTCGTGACTGCAGTAATTCATATTCTTAGTTTTTTCGGTAAAGTCACGTTGAAGAGAAACAACAAAATAACAAAATATATATAAAACAATAAAAAATTCTCACGACGTTTCGACCATAACTCAAACGGTCATCATCAGGTGTGTCGGTTTGCATAAATTTATTTTGAAAACGGCATATTTATTTATATATATAAAAATAACGTTTGCGTCACGCGCAACGATGGCAGTTTGCCAGGACTAGTCCATCTATTTTTTGAAAAGAGGAGGGGGGAGACGAAATTTGTTTTTATGTATGCTGTCTGAAAGGCACTGTAAGCGTGAACAATCAATCAAGAACTGAAATGATTTATCAAATCTTTCCAATGATTGCTAAGATAGAATCCATCTTCTCGGTTGAAATTGTCTCTGTGTTTGTATATGTGGATAGCCTCATGAACGAATCTCTCATGGAAGCCAGATGGCTTACAAAGAACCTCCGTCTTGGAAAAGTCAATGGCATGTGAGCCTACTGAATTAGAACAATGATCTGCTACGGCCGAGGTGTTGGTCCTACCGTGTTTAAGGTCTGCTTTATGTTCACGAATGCGGTCCGAGATATGGCGTTTGGTTTCTCCAATGTAACTACTACCACAGAGGCAAC